TAGAATAGTTCTCTCAGAAATCTAGATGCTGCAAACAAATAGCAACAGCAGAATGAGAATGTATGCTCAGCACTCTTACAAATAGCAACTCGGACTGCTTTAACATCATAGAACAGAGCATTCAAGCATTGGAAGAAGAACTTAGCAATAATATTCTTCAATATTCTTTATTGCTTATACTAAGCATCATAACCAGAAATATGAATAAGAAATAATACTTCTTTAATTACTGATACAAGTATATAAATAATACTGAAAATGCTTCTTAGGCAACAGAAAGATCAAGCTCGAACAAACAATCTAACGATTTACCGGAGTCTTCCGTGAACAACAATGAACCCAAGAAGCTTACAGAAAGATTCACCTTCAGCATTGAATAGAACAAAGAAACAACATGGATCGAATATCTCATTTACAGAATAGAGCTGAAAGAGCTCTTTACCTGCATCCCCTTACAGAATATCGAGATATGAGAAGATAAGAATTCTCGAATCAGCTTACTTTACAATCTATATTACAAACTAGCTTAGATCTCCTGCATCTATTATAGCTGCAGAATACATTTCTTGAACAAAGTGCAATACGAATAGTTCCTTATCAGAGAACCAGAATAAATCCTTCAAGCTATTGAAGAACAAAAACTCCGCTTCAGAAAGATTCTTAACAAATAGCACTATAATGCATATATCGGATTATCAGATAACTGCTCCAAACAATGCATGAATAAAAAGATAAAATAGTAGCAATATGAAACAATATTCTACACAATTCATATTAATAACAAGATTTGCAATTAGCATTAATAGAAGAAAGACTAGAAATAATAATAATACAAGCAAAAGCAAGCTAAGAAGCTTGCTTAAGAAGTAGCAAAGCAGGCTTAGAAGAATAAGCAGTTCTTAACAAACTCAAAAGAACAGAATTATCTATAAAGGAACTGCAGATAATCAAACTAGAACAGTTTCTATATAAAGCTTCTAGAACAGATTATGCTTACATCAAGTTCAATATATATATTCAAGAATACAAATACAGCATACTATTGAATAGTAGCGCTTAGAGAAACTTTATATTCCTATACATTATCAATCAAGTACAACTACAATAGAGATAGAAGAGATATCTATATACTCTCAGCACTATAAAAGAACAATCTATTGCATACAACTAAGAAGTGATTAATAAGAAAACTAATTATCTACTTATCTTAATCCAAGAACATGCAATCAGAGCTTCTTTTAACATTATAGATACAGCACAATATAAGCTGATTATAGAACTTCTATAGCTTAAGAAGCATAATTCTTGAATCAATTAGACTATTAGCTAGATCTTATAAGAACAAGCTGTATCCAGAAAGATAGTTATAATCAATAGCGCAGGATTGAAGCTAGTAGTTGAAGAATACTTAGAAAAAGAAGCTTCATACAACTTCCTATATACTTCCAAGTTAGCAGAGCTAGCAGCTTAAGGAGAAGAATCTAGTAATAAGCGAACCCAAATAGTGCCAGAGCGCTAACAGATTAGCAAAACAACGAAGCGAGATTCTCAGCAAGTCAGTTCGCTTCGGAGCAACAAGGAAAGGCTTCAGAAAGTGAATTGTAAATCTATACAGGAAAACCCTCGTAAACCAAGCCCTCAAGCGCTTGCTTCAGCCCGGAGCGGACGCTCAAAGCCCTTGAAAATGCCATCAGAAAAGAAGCACGCTCAACAGTATCTACTGTTTCTTCAGATAGCAGAAACAGTACAAAGACCAGAATCAATACTTGCAAACATATTACGAGAATACTACAAGTTTAAGAAACTATTCCAGAAAGAATTGAATATAGAATTGCTAGAATACAGCTCATACAACTACAAGATTCTGCTACAAGAAGAGAAACAGCCCAAATTCTTTCTTATTTACAAACTAGATAAGGTACAGCTAGAAGCACTTCAGAAATATCTCAATAAGAATCTTAAGAAAGAATACATATAATCATTATAATTACTAGCAGAATATCCTATCCTGTTTATACCTAAGAAAAATAGTAAGCTTAAGCTATATATTAATTATAAGTAACTCAATAATATTATAATCAAGAACTAATACTCATTGCTACTCATTAAAGAATTATGAGATAGATTGCAAGAAGCATAATAGTTTACAGCTTTAGATTTAAAAGAAGCTTATAATCTGATCAGAATAAAGAAAGGAGAAGAATGGAAAACTGCTTTCAGAATATGCTATAGATATTATAAATATTTGATTATACTCTTCAGTTTAATGAATATTCCAGCTTCATTCCAGAAAATGATTAATTATATTTTATACAAGCATCTGAATCAATTTATTATTGCCTATCTTAATAACATTCTTATTTACTCTTAAACATTGAAAGAATACAAGAAGCATATGGAAACAGTATTGTAAACGCTTCAAGATGCAAAACTCCTTATAGAACTCGCAAAGAATCATTTTTACATACAAAAAATTAACTACTTCGGATTCACAATCAAGCTAGAATATATTAAGCTACAGAAAAACAAAGTAGAAGCTATCAGAAATTAGCCAGTTCCTAGGAATATCAGGAATATTAAATCTTTCCTCAAATACATCAACTTCTACAAACAGTTTATTAAGAACTATAGCTGAATTATATACTCTCTTACAAATCTTATCAAAAAAGAATAGCTTTTTGAATGAATCTTTAAGACACAAGAAGCTTTCAATGAGATTATCAAGCATATTATCTCAGAACCAGTTCTATATAAAGCAAATCTCTACAAACTCTTTAAAGTTAAGACTAATGTATCAGAATATGCACTTGGAGAACAATTTGGTTAGCAAGATAACTAAGAATATCTAAGAATTATAAGCAACTTCTCAAAGAAGTTGAATAGCTCGGAAATCAACTACAAGATCTCTGATCAGAAACTCATAGCAATAGTAAAAGCCTTTAAGAAGTAATAATACTACCTCATTAGCATACAATACTCGATCATAGTTCACTCAGATTACAAGAATTTAACTATATTCATAACAACCAAGATTTTGAACAAGCAACAAGTTAGATGGGCAGAATTCCTTTCACAGTTCAACTTCAAGATTATGTACTGCAAAAGCTTAGAAAATGAACAAGCAAACGCTCTCAGCAGAAGATTAGATTATCGAGATGCAGATTCCTCGAATATATAGAACATCTTCGTTCAAAACGAGTCAGAAAATCTTATTAATGCATATAGAGAACTAAATACTGCTCTCAGAATCAAACTCTTGGAAAGAAATCCAGAATTAATAATTCCAGATGAATAAAATAACTATATCAAGGATATATACAGTACACCAGCGCACAAGCATCAGAAAGTTAGAGCAATCTATAAATATATTAAAAAATACTAAAATTTATTAGATCTTAGGAAAAGAATTGAAAGCATTCTACAACAATGCAACAGCTGCAAAAAGAATAAAGCAGAAAAATACAAGCCTTATGAATTACTGCATCTCTTATCAGTACCTATAACTATTTAGCAATTCATCAGTCTAAACTTCATTATCAAGCTATCTCTCTTATAAGAACTCTTAACTAAGATGCAATACAATAGCATTCTAATAATAGTTTGCAAACTAAGCAAATACGCTTACTTTCTTCTCTACAAGAAAAGCAGTATAGCAGAGGAACTTGTATATGCATTCCTCAGAACGATTATCGCTAACTACAGTACGCTAGAAGAAGTAATCTCTAATAGAAACAGAAAGTTCAATTCAAAGTTTTGAACTTTACTCATAAAATAGCTTGGAATATACTATAGAATATCTACAGTATTCCATCTATAAACAGATAAATAAATAGAAAAAATGAATCAGATTATTAAACAGTATCTCTAATACTATATTAACCAGAAACAGAATAATTGAATCAACCTATTGCTTCTTATATAATTCATTTATAACAGTGCAAACATAAGTATAATAAAGAAATCATTATTCTTCATACTCTATAAATACAATCCAACAGCTTATTACAAAGCATTGCTAGAAGTAGATACAGAAGCTGCGAATAAAAGAGTTAAAAAGATTAGAAAAGTTCAGAAAGAATTCCAATCAGAACTACAATTCGTTCAGGAACGAATGATACAATACACAAACTCCAAAAGAATTGAGAAACCAATCCTATAGAAAGGAGATAAGATCTATCTACTTCGAAAAAACATTAAAACAACTAAACCTAGCAACAAACTCAATCATAAAAAGTTAGAATCATTCAAAATCTTGCAACAGATTTCTCCAGTCAACTACGAGTTAGCATTATCTCATGGAATGAGGATATACCCAGTTTTCCACATCTCACTGCTGGAACCAGCAGCACAGAAAACACTAACAGACAATACAGCAGAAGTGAAAAACAATAAATCAAAATATGAAATAGAGAAGATCCTCAAGCATAGAAGCACAAACAACACGAGAGAATACCTCATCAAGTAGAAAGGTTACTCAGCAAGTGAAAATTCATGGGAACCACGAAAGAACGTCGAAAATGCTCAGAAAAAAGTAGCTGAATATTGAAAAAAGAAAGCCAGCACCTAAGACAACCGCTCCAGCCCGAAGAGAAGCCCAGAGCCCATCATCTCACCCAAAAATCCAGAATAATCCACAACAGCCCCACTAGGATTAACAGAGTTCCAGTCAAAACCATCAAACAAGAGATCCTCAGCCAAAATACTCTCAGCTGATACTGCTTCACAAACCAATGCAGCAAGATTGCATTCCTCCTCCTCACAACATTCCCGCTCATCCAGCTCATCAAGGGACTCAAAGCCCGCATTCACCATTTAAGCGCCCCAAGAAGCAAGAGATCTACGCTGAATGCGCAGGCGAGCAAGACGAGCAGCGGACTCCGAGATCTTCGCACAAGCCTTGTCAAGGACTTCCAACGCTCAACGATAAGCCCCCTCCAACTCTGCCTCCGCCTCCCGCTCCTTCGATTCCAGCCTCTTATCTTCTGCTATAATGCGCGAAACTAAGGAAAGAAGAAGAGCATCAGCAAAGGGATTAGAAAAGAAGAAAAAGAGAACTTACAAGCAGAAACAGAAACCTCACAGCCATTACAAGAACGAGCATGACAGATATACTGAGAACAACGCTTTGCATCATCCATCATCTTGCATACCAGGCTCCGGAAAGTACAAGCAGTGCAAAGCATAATCTCAAAACCAAACTAATCAACAGCTAGGAAAAGACGGTTATGCTATTCAGTTTTCTTAGAAAAAGATTTCTCAACCCTGCTCAACATCTCAATTAGAAAGGCAAGATTATGCATATGGAAAACTTGCTAGAATATTTACAGAAGATCATTAGGAACAACGATCGATAGAAGGAAGATGATGTTATAACCTATTCAACATGCAGATTACGAAACAGATCACAAGCAACAAGAACCAGATATCAAGAACCCAACGTTCTAACAAAGCATTAATTACATAACCTAGGAAGGAAACAGGGATGGATTACTAGAAGCACTAGAAGCGCAGCTCACTAAGCTCACCCGGATCACCGCAGTAATCCGCAGAACGCTGCCAGACAATAATTCATACTGAAGAGCTGGATATATAAGAACACGGTTATTATCATTAGAAGGATTCAGTACATAGCTCTTCAATTATCAATCTAAGTATTCAGTCTCATACACTGAGTAGCTCCAAAGGCAGTAAACACTTGCATCGCTTATTAGGACTTGTACAGTTCCGTATTCAAGGACTTGACACTTTGATACCGTTCTTGTTAGCATAAACCCCTTCGTGTACTTAGGAATCTTCGGATTGCTGCAGTGCTCATTACAATAGAATAATAGCAGTATAAAATGATATTCTGTATGATTCATATCAAAAACAAAGTTTGCAATTAGCATTAATAGAAGAAAGACTAGAAATGATAATAATACGAGCAAAAGCAAGCTAAGAAGCTTGCTTAAGAAGCAGCAAAGCAAGCTTAGAAGAATAAGCAGTTCTCAACAAATTCAAAAGAATAGGATTGCTTGTAAAGAGATTGCAAATAATCAGATCAGAACAATCTCTATATAAAGCTTTCAGAACAGATTATGCTTACATCAAGTTTAATATATATATTCAAGAATACAAATACAATGCACTATTGAATAGTAATGCTTAGGAAAACTTCATATTCTTATACATTATTAATCAGATACAACTACAATAGAGATAGAAGAAATACTCATATACTCTCAGTACTATAAAAGAATAATCTATTGCATACAATCAAGGAGTAATTAATAAGAAAACTAATTATCTATCTATTTTAATTCAAGAATGTATAACTAAAACTTTCTTTAATATCACAGATACAGCATAGCATAAGCTAATTATAGAACTTCTATAGCTTAAAAAGCACAATCCTCGAATTGATTAAACTACTAGCTAGCTTTCATAGGAACAAGCTGTATCCAGAGAAATAGTTACAATCAATAATACAGAATCGAAGCTAGTAGTTGAAGAATATTCAGAAAAAGAAGCTTCATACAACTTCCCACATACTTTCAAATCAGCAGAGCTAGCAGTTCAAGAAGAAGAATCTAATAATAAGCGAATCCAAATAGTGCTAGAGCGCTAATAGATTAGCAAAATAATGAAAGCGAGACTTTCAGCAAGTTAGTTCGCTTCGAAGCAACAAGGAAAAGCTTCAGAAAGTGGATTATAAACCCATACAGGAAAAATCTCGAAACCAGGCTCTCAAGCGCTCAATCCAGCCTGGAGCGAATGCTCAAAGCTCTCGAAAATGCTATCAGAAAAGAAGCATGCTCAACAGTACTTACTATTCCTTCAGATAGCAGAAACAGTATAGAAATCAGAACTAATACTTGCAAACATATTACAAGAATATTACAAGTTTAAGAAACTATTCCAGAAAGAATTAAATACAGAATTGCTAGAATACAGCTTATACAATTACAAGATCTTGCTACAAGAAGGAAAACAGCTCAAATTCTTCCTTATTTACAAACTAGATAAAGCACAGCTAGAAATACTTAAGAAATATCTTGATGAGAATCTTAAGAAAGAATATATATAACTATTGCAATTACTAGCAGAATATCCTATCCTATTTATATCTAAGAAAAATAGTAAGCTCAAGCTATATATTAATTATAGATAACTCAATAATATCATAATTAAAAACTAATATCCATTGCTACTTATTAAGAAACTATAAAATAGATTGCAAGAAGCATAATGATTTACAATTCTAAATCTAAAAGAAGCTTATAATCTAATCAGAATAAAAGAAGGAAAAGAATGGAAAACTGCTTTTAGAATATGCTACGGATACTACGAATATTTAATTATGCTCTTTAGTTTAACAAATGCTCTAGCTTCGTTCTAAGAAATAATTAATCACATTCTATACAAGCATCTGAATCAGTTCATTATTGCTTATCTCAATAATATTCTTATCTATTCTTAAATACTTGAAAAATACAAGAAATATGTGAAAACAGTATTGCAAACGCTCCAAGATGCAAAACTCCTTGTAGAACTTGCAAAGAATCATTTTTATATATAAAAGATTAACTATCTCGGATTCACAATCAAGCTAGAATGTATTAAGCTACAGAAAAACAAGGTAAAAGCTGTTAGAAATTAGCTAGTTTCCAAGAATATTAGGGATATTAGATCTTTCCTCGAATATATCAACTTCTATAAGCAGTTCATTAAGAACTACAGCTGAATTGCATATCTTCTTACAAATCTTATCAAAAAAAAGCAATTCTTCAAATAAACCTCTAAAGCATAAGAAGCTTTTAATAAAATTATCAAGCATATTATCTCAGAACCAGTTCTATATAAAGCAAATCTCTATAAACCCTTTGAAATTGAGACTAATGTATTAGAATATGCATTCAGAGAATAACTTAGCTAGCAAGATAACTAAGAATATCTAAGAATTATAAGCAACTTCTCAAAGAAGTTGAATAGCTTAGAAATTAATTATAAAATCTCTAATTAGAAACTTATAGCAATAATAAAAGCTTTTAAGAAGTAGTAATATTATTTTATTAGCATATAATACTTAATCATAGTTTACTCGAATTATAAGAATCTAATTATATTCATAACAACTAAGATTTTGAATAAGTAATAAGTTAAATAAGCAGAATTTCTCTTATAATTCAACTTCAAGATTATATACTGCAAAAGCTTAGAGAATGAACAAGCAGATGCTCTTAGCAGAAGATCAGATTATCGAAATGCAGATTCTTCAGATATATAGAATATCTTCATTCAAGATAAGTCAGAAAATCTCGTTAATGCGCATAGAGAACTGAATGCTATCTTCAGAATTAAACTCTTGGAAAAGAATTCAGAATCAATAATTCCAGATAAACAAGATAATTATATTAAGAATGTATATAGTATACTAGTATATAAATACTAGAGAATTAGAGCAACTTATGAATATATCAAAAGATATTGAAATCTATTAAGTCTTAAGAAAAGGATTAAGAATATTCTATAATAATGCAATAGCTGCAAAAAGAATAAAGCAGAAAGATATAAGCTTTACAAACTACTGCACTTCTTATTAATACTTACAACTATTTAGCAATTCATCAGTTTAAACTTTATTATTAAGCTATTTCTTTTATAAGAACTTTTAACTAAAATATAATATAATAGCATTCTAGTAATAGTTTGCAAACTGAGCAAGTATGCTTATTTTCTTCTTTATAAGGAAAGCAGTATAGCAGAAGAACTTATATATATATTTCTCAGAATAATCATTGCTAATTATAGCATATTAGAAGAAGTAATCTCCAATAGAAATAGAAAGTTTAATTCAAAGTTTTGAACTTTACTTATAAAACAGCTCGAAATATATTACAGAATATCTATAGCATTCTATCTGCAAATAGATGAATAGATAGAAAGAATAAATCAGATTATCGAATAATATCTTTAATACTATATTAATTAGGAATAGAATAACTAAATTAATCTGTTACTTCTTACATAGTTTGCTTATAATAGCGCAAATATAAGTATAATAAAGAAGTTATTATTCTTTATACTCTATAAATATAATCCAATAGCTTATTACAAAGCATTGCTAGAAGCAGATATAGAAGCTGCAAATAAAAGAGTTAAAAAGATTAAGAAAGTTTAGAAGAAACTTCAATTAGAATTATAATTTGTTTAGGAATGAATAGTATAATATACAAACTCTAAAAAAATTAAGAAACTAATTCTATAGAAGGAAAATAAGATCTATCTACTTCGAAAAAATATTAAAATAACTAGATCCAGCAACAAGCTTAATTATAAGAAGTTAGAACTATTCAAAATCTTATAACAAATCTTCCCAGTTAATTACAAGTTAGTATTATCTTATGAAATAAGAATATATCTAGTTTTCCATATCTTATTGCTGAAACTAGCAGTACAGAAAATACTAACAAATAATACAGCAAAAGTAGAAAATAACAAATCAGAGTATAAGATGAAGAAGATTCTCAAGCATAGAAGTACAGACAGCATGAGGGAATATCTCATCAAATAGAAAGATTATTCAGCAAGCGAAAATTCTTGGAAACTGCAGAAAAACATTAAAAATGCTCAGGAAAAGATAGCTGAATATTGGAAAAGGAAAACCAGCACTTAAGACGATCGCTCCATCCCGAATCGGAATCCAGAGCTCCCAGAAGCCTCATTCTCCAGAAAACTCAACCAGTTAATCACAGAATTTCTCAGATTCACAGAATTCCAATCAAAACTCTCAAAAGAAGAATCTCCAGCTACAACAGCAGATTCCTCAGCTATTACAGCCTGCACTTCAGCAGCAATATGCATCCTCTTAGCTTCAGCTTTCTCAGCTTTCTCTTTCTCAAGCTCTTCAAGATTCTTAAAATCTCAGCAAATAGCTCGAGATATTTTCTCATGCTATATCTTCTTTTATTAATACAGTTAAAGCAATTTTAATTTCAATTCTTCTATCTCATTCTCTAGCTTTCGATGCTGAGTAGAGATAAGAAGGAGTTCAGCAGCATTCATTAGCTCCAGAATGTTGCACTTAGCATAATTCTAAGAGATGCACTCCAAGCAACAGAATGAATCGTAAGAAGAAATAATATACAATTGCAAGCCTTAACTATTATAATAAGAACAGAAATGCATATTGAAACTGTTTGAA